TGAAGTGAGTAACAGCTCATCAAACTCTACCATCAGCTCTCCTGGATCAACTACTCTGCTCTCCCCTTTCTGTTAAAGTCAGGCTCAGAGTAGCTCAGTCATCTCTAAAAACATACAGACTTTCTTCTTACAAGGGTCCTCTGGCTCAAGGGAACTGTTCCTACAGGTCATGTTGCCAAGTGAAGCTCTCTGTTCCACCACAATGTTCACAGGCTTACTTCCTGAAGACTCACACTGAACCAAAATAGTCAGGCAAGGCAAGGCAAGGCAAGGCAAGGCAAGGCAAGGCAAGGCAAGGCAAGGCAAGGCAAGGCAAGGCACGGCACGGCAAGGCACGGCACGGCAAGGCACGGCAAGGCAAGGCAAGGCAAGGCAAGGCAAGGCAAGGCAAGGCAAGGCAAAACCAAAGATCACTTGCTATTTTCTTGTAATAATTTTTGGGACACAGTTATAACTGTTCTTCTCCACCCTGAAAGGACAAGTAACACTAGGTTAACATGGTTTACATGGCAAGTGTTTTAAATTCAGCTGTTTGCCAAATTGAAACTCAAACTCTTACAAAGTACCTATTGATCAAAACACAAAACCAAAAAAACAGAACACAGCAAGTGAGAATACATGTCCTCACAGTCTGAACTTTGCTCTTGCTTATGACACTAGCTATGAGAAACAAGAGGAAACCCAGAGGGAGAAATCAAGGTTAGTCACCTTCCTAGTTATCACTAGACTTACACATGTATTATACTGAGACATCTCAATCAAACCACTGCACAGGTTTGTGTGGTGCAAAACTGCACGGGCAGAAATATATGAGCCATACATTTCTGGCTGTGAATCTCACCCCACATCATCCAAATACTAAGTCTAATTAATAATTTAATAATTATTAAATTATAACATGTTTCTTGCTTTTTGGAGCTGCTCTCTCCTGCTCCATATGTATTTTGTAGGCAACTATTTACTGCATGGGTCTGTTTCCATGATTATGTGGCAAAAATCTATAGGGTTAAAAAAACCTCATAAAGCTAGACAACCTAGTTAGGTTTCTGTTCCACTGAGGAAGTAAAGGCCTGAAGTTAAGTACCTGGAATTTACTTTAGACAGAAAGATATTCTCATTAACACCTGTTCAAGAATAAAAGTCTCTTCTGCAAACAGGCTAGCCATCAGTGCCTTGAAGATGAAAGATTATTTAGAGCCTGCAACACTTGCTTCTATTAAGGAAAAGAAGGCTTTTGAAAACTGGAATGTGTGAGTTTATAGAAGACAAAAGGACACTGGGTAATAGGATCATCACACTGGGTAATAGGATATGGATAATTCCAAAAAATCACACTCCCCACCTTGTACCTGCTCTTACTCAAATATTTAAAGGGCAATGCCTGTGTATATTAATAAAAAAAGACTTTTTTTGATGAAGCCATATAAAAATAGGCAAAAAAGGCTGGGTCAACACAGGAACTAAACAACCAGGGAAGTCTGGTAAGAGCCAAGAGTTAAAGAAAGCAAATTTTTAACCAAAAGAGGGAACCTATCAAACCAAAAGCATAGTAGTCCCTAAACTACTCTTCAACACAGAATAAGTTGCAAATCTTTAACCACTTTATATCCAGGACCAACAACACCCTTCTTACCACATACATACATAACTCATGAGGACTCAAAACCAAAACACCTGTTCCCCAACAACTCCTTGATCCACGCACTTAACCCCTCTATCACTAAGAAAGAAATCTGGGCCCTAATTGCCAAAGCCCTCAGAAATGGAAAATATATACTTCTCAAAACACTGTTCAAAAGCTGTCAAAACTTAAAAAGTTCAAAGTGCAGGCAAGAAAATTCACTTAGTGGGCACTAAGGAAAGAGTTCTGCCACCACTGTGTGCACTGGCACAAGGATGTGCTCCTCTGTACCCAGCACTAAACAGAACAGCCCAGTCCGGGCTGGAGCTTTGTAGGGGATTTATCAGAATATACATCTATTTGGAAAGATGCCCAAGAGGAGGATGACTAATTGCTGCAACACAGAGAGCAACAGTGGCAAGTTTGCACCAGCCAAGGGTTTACCACCTAGAAACTTAATTGAAGGCATCAAAATACTGAGGGGGCAGTAAAACAGTAGCTTCAACACACACATTTCAAGTGCCTACATTTTAGGCAGGTCTCATGAAGCAGCAAGAGATGCAGCCAACCTCTTTCTTTTCCTTTGTGTTCAAAAGCAAAAGGAGAGACTGCATTTGGTGTTGTAACAGAATGACCTCTCTCATGGCCCTCTCTGCATGAGACTTACGGTTTTCTACACAAGGACCAGCCACAGGTAGAGAAAAGGACACTTACAGCTTGTTAAGTGCCATAAAGTAAGAACCTGTGAAGATGCTTTGTACCAACCAAATGTTCACAAATTGTGAACATAGAAAACATAAAACATATTCCATAAAACAATTCCATAGAAAACATAAAACAGGTTACTCCATCTAACCACTTCTCTGAATTTTCAACAAAAATGTTTGCCTTCAGTGGCAATTCTCAAAATACTCTTTAGGATCAAAGACATAACCTAAAACGCTTCCACTTCATCTACATGAATGAATCTACTTATGTGCATTTTTCTCTGAAAATGAGCACCGAATTTGGCCAGCACAAGCAATGGTGTCGTGCACCGGAATGCGGGATAGTTTTGATTCGCTTGTCTTTTTTAAATTTTGCTTTAATAAGCAAGCACTGAACTAAAGATGCTTTTACTTCTCGGGCATGTGACGCCACTGAAGAGGTCTCAGTGCACACCCCAGCATCGCCATCAAATAGGGCCGCCTCCAAAAAGGCAGATAGTTCAGGGTTTGACAAAGGAACGCCTGACACACAACCTCGATGCCGGCCGGGCCGGGGCTGACGGCGGCGGGTG